ATATATATATATATAAATTGTAATTTTGCAGTATGAATAACATATATATATAATTTGTATTTCTTAAAAATACAAATGTCTAAAAACATAAAACGATATTCATGGATTGAAAACTGTCAATCAAAGTCCTACAAACTTATGAATAACGCAAGCAACAACGCATAAGAATAATATATTAAGAATAGTCAATGATGTAAAATCAAAAACAATAGACGAATTCAGAAGAAAGCTGAGAGAATGTATGAACCTGCATGCCATTATACTTTTTGCCTTGATACGCAAGCAACAACGCATAAGAATAAAGTTTTTTTCTTCGCTTCCTTGCAGGTGCGCCTGCAAATATATTTCTAACTTCGTCCATTTTAAATAACTTGAAAACAAATTTTAAGTAAAAAAAACAATGTGTGATTTTCAGATAACACTCAAAACATAATGCACAAGATAAGAAAGCTAATTCTCAAGAATCAAATACACATTTTGAAAAAACGAATAAAATGTTAAATATATAACACCATGAAGTCTTTAAGCAAAAATAATTGTAGAATATAGAACTGCATATATGAATTGCAAATTCGTCCACAAAAAACTTCAGTATGATAAAAACTAGCCATCAACATCACATGCCGATGTAGGAGAGGGTGACTTCTTTGTTTGCTCCATCCAAGTATCCTTTGGCTGCTTCATACCTTTGAGCATATTTTTCATGAAATTAAGTAAACCTCGTAACATCCAACCTGAAAAAGTTTACAGAAAGGTACTGTGCAAAGACAATCACTAGAAAGTTTACCAAGTTCTACAACAAAAACCAACTTCTGCACACAAGTCTTTGATATAGCATAAACTCTAACCAATTAAATACTTTCACTACATTTTTCAGATACCTGCTAATTACGATTTCTCTTTTTCTATCATTGAATATCTCACTCTACTACATTCTTAAATACAAAATTGCAATGATGAACATGAGCTCCTGTACATAACGAAATATGGCTTAACAAAATAAAAACAAATGGGAATAACTATACCCTTGGAGCTTAATGATTAGCAAAGATTAGGGATGAACCATTATGAAATATGCATAGTGCGAAAAGCTTGTTTTCTATGCGACATTTATCTGAATTGGAGAGCTTCACAAAGGCAGCACTATCATGTATAGCACGTAAATCATATCAATTACAACGTGGAAACATTTTCAAGAACATTTTAAAATGACGTACTTTAAAAGAATATAATCCAAGCTAGCACTGGAAATATCAAATAACGATTTTCACGAACAAGTGAACAGTAAAAACAAGATTTACATGAATAATGCCTTGATACACATTAATAATTAAAACGATTCATACAAGTTTTGCAGATCAAATCACTTCCCATAATTTAACAAATCACCACGAAGTACGGGCAGGTTCGCCCCAATCTCGTCCGTATTTAGACTGGCGACCTTCGTACTGATCATTGTAGTACTGAAATGAATAGAAAATGCATCCTCTTATACTGAAACAAAACAACTATGGAAGTTCTTCTTAGCAAAAATTTTTGCTGACTTTCAGGATTTAACAGCAATTGTTTCAATATGTATGCGGAACAAATAAACTCTGGAAGGATTACAATTCAGAAACATTCCTTAATTATATTTTTTATAAAATTTACCTGTTGTCCGCCGATTCCACAACCATAAGCAGAAGTCTCATCATCTGAAAAAAGAATAAATTTGAAATTTTAATATGAAATGCAATCCATCATTTTTTGTTAATTATAAAAATTAATTACTTGTGTCTAAGTAAACATAACAATAAAATTACTTAGTTTATAAATAAATGTAACCTTCTGCAAAGGAACTATATAATGGACGTGGTGCTCCCGACATGCGGTTAGGTGCTCCATTTGCCGAACGAAACGACATTGTTTTGATCGGATGAGGGATATTTGTCGCAGGAAATAATTCAATATATCTGAAAGTAAGACGAATTTCGTTCGCTTCCAAAAATCTTGAAAAAGAATTTAATAAGAAAATAATGGACTTTGTTAAGTGTAGTCTCAAATACATGTGGAGGGACTGCTCCGCAAAACAAAGTTCGTGAAAAACTGCCCCGAAAAGAACACAAAAAACTAACTATTGTGCTCTAAGAAATGCTACAAAACTATTTCAGTAAAGTGCTTACACGCCCTGTCTACGCTTATGTATGCTAAGATGACAATTAAATTACATGAAGTGAAAAATAAAATTATAGACAGTTCTTCCAAAGGATAAACTTCATATAAAATGCAAAGAAATTCGATTTTCATGGTATTATCTGTTTTGGTTTTCAAGTTTTTCCATCAACATATACTAACCTCAAAATTTGAAATTACAAAGTTGACAGCCCTAAACTCATAGATGCATAGACACCACATATAACAAAACTTCTTCCAGAACATGCAACTTAAAAATGTTTTGAAGATTCACTGTTCTACATACACTAATTAAGCTCTTTCATACCATCTTCGCTCACACCATAGGAAGTGTTTATTTCTCGACACATGCAACTGTCTGCACAAAACTCCTTAACTCTTCCTATGCAGATTATTCTGGCATTAAATGCTGTGTAAATACTGTCAACATTCTTAACAAGAGGAACTTTAATAAGGATTAAGATATAATCATCATGCAAAATTCCATCTTTTTATCTTTTTTCATGATCCACATCTCTATAAGTTCTAACAATTTTTTTGCAACTCTTTAAGCATTTGTACTTTACTATGTTTTTCTCGATGGGAATTCGTACTCCTCCAAATTCTTCACATGGTCTGAACTGCTTACAAATAATAAGGTACTCCATGTATATCAGACTTATTCCCTCTGCTCTTCACACCGAAATAGTATTCTGCGTTTCCCGTAATTTTCTTACGTTTTTAACTTCCAATTTTAGAGGTATGTTACCGAGTACAAATACGCTCTTTTTCGAGTTCTATTACTATTGAAATTAAATGAATTACTTTTCTTCCCACTGACAAAAAGAATAAATTAGTACTATTTACTATGCCATTAGTATGTGTACTATTTTAAAAACTGAATTCAAAACATCGCTCTGGAACTAATAGGAATTCACGGAAGATTATTTATTATGATGAAAGCGTGCAAAATTTATTACAAAAATATTAAAAGAATACATATAGAGTACCTGGTCCCCATATTATTTTTATTACGTGAAAGAGCTTCTCGTGCTTCTGCCATCGTTGAGAAAGTTACTAGTGCATCACCAGAAAGACGTCGTTCTTCATTATAACCAAGTTTAATTTCTGCACAATTCAAGGGCCGGAAAAATTCTTCGATATCATAAACTGTAACACTGTAAGGTAAACCTGAAAGTGAAAATCAATCATTATTTGACGACAAAGCTATAAAATATTCCTTGTTAGATTAAAAAACCATCAAACAGAGATTCCACAACGAAAAACGATGAAATTGGAGAACTACATTTTTTGCAATTGCAATTTTTTACCTACTCTTAAATTTTAGATAATATGTCTATCATTAGTTACATTGGCTACTTTGTAATATACCTCGCATAAAAACTTTAACTGTCGGGTCATACATTGCTTCATCAAATTCTGGATCATATCGTGCACCGTACCGGTAATAGCGATCTCTATCGTAATAAGGGCGATCGTACGGTGATGGACGTGGATGTACACTTGAAAGCCTTATAGGTCGACCATAACGTCCATAATCTCCATATCTGAATCAAGAGTTTGAAATTGCAAATGTAATAAAAAAGAAAATCAAAGATACTACTAATATTACGTCATCATTAATTGATGTTCAGTAATTAACATACAACTAATCTATTTTCTTACGAAAAAAATGAAGGAATTAGCATACCTGTCACGATATCGAAAATCCAGTGTTGGACTTATACCGCGTAAAGGCACCGGTCCACTAGTTGGCGGTGGTATACCTCTTGATGCATAATAACTGTTGTCCATTTCATCAGCTGAACTGCGGAATACTTCAACATATCTGCAACATTCCTTTCAAATGAGATCTTTATTTATTGAATAAAACAATTTATAATGACTTTATTATATACTATGCAAAAATGGACTTACATAATTTATTGTTTAATCGTACATTAACTGCAGTAAGAGATGACGATAATTTGCATGAAAACTTACGCTAAACAGTGATCACGCCGGATTCCTATTAGCCAAATGGCCATTATTCATTTCGGACCCTACCAACAAGCACAAATTTTACCTACCCAGTATTGAAAATATGCATATTCCCCAACAGAATTCCCATACCTTGAACCCATGTAGTTTTTGCTTCTCTCCAAAGCCAATTCTGCGTGTTCTTTGGTTGCCAACCGTACGAATGCCTCCCCAGAAGGTCGACCCCCCGGTTCCTTGTCGATTACCGCATCCGCTACTTCCAGGCCTATATTCCCATTAAAACATAAAACCAGAACCACTCTCATACCAGACTACCGCTCACCAATTTTATCTAGCCAGGGATGACGTGCACTTCACTTAACTAAACTGCGGGACTGCATAAAAAGGGGATTCGCTGTGGTTTCTGACGAAATTTTCTGTGAAACGCTTCGAACTCACATTAAAATTTTCAAGAACATTTTTAATCTCATTGAATTTTCAGAAAAACTCTGAACCTGAGAAAAATTCCTTGATGTCCTCGATTGTTGCACTGTAAGGTAAACCTCGAAGACGTACAACATAATTGCTTGCAAAACGACTATCCGCATCTCCTCCACTACCCCTGATCACTCCATGACGTATCATCATCGATAGCTCCGCATCACTAACAGTGAATACTGCAAGAACGTGACAAGAAAATTTTTAGCGAAAAATGAAAAAAAATGACAAATCTAAGAAAAATAAGCACTTTATCAAAATTCATATCAATTATACTTGATTTCAATCCAGATATACTACCTTTCACGTGAAATTAAAAAAAATTTTCTTGCATATATTTGATTTAGATCACGGTTCAATAACTTATATACCATTTTAATTTAGGCATGTTAGCTTGTGCTTAATTAAAACTTGTTAGTTTAAAAACTATTAGTTAATTCAGTTAATATGTTTTGAATAAGGAATTTATCGAATTCTGAATAATTTTAATGACAAACAAACCTTCAATGTAACGACCACTGATTTCATTGCGATCTAACTTGAGTGCTTCTTTCACAGCCTCCTGTTCATCCAGTTCTACGTAGCACTCGCCACTTGCCCTACCATTCGACGTGAGAGTGAACGTTACTGACTTCGCGTTCAGACCGGAAAAATAAATTTTTCACGCTAGCAAAGAGGCAATATTATTTCCTGAATTTGTTGCAAAGTGAAGCGATGCGCTGTGGTGAGGTGACGTGTAAATAAACACCTTGCAAGAAATCTCTGACGTCTTGTTCTTTTGCGGCAAACGGAAGCCCTCGAAGGCGCACGTAATTAGTTTCTATATTCATCATCAAGAATGAAACAGCGCCTGAAATGAGAACCGCTATGACTACACTTAACTCAGTAGGTAGACAGCTAACAACCAACAGTTTTAATATATATAATAATACGCATTCTGCGGTCACGTCTAGCAATGTAAACGGCGCAGATGACGTGATGCAAACGTTTACTTCCGTAACGGATACAACTTCCGACACGCTCGGACTCATAATCGATTACTTACCACTGAATCTTTTCAGGACTCACACTAACTCAGCAACATAATATCGGAATCCCCTTCACACTTAACATCACTGACGTGACTTTATGGACGTAAGTTTATAAATAATGTTTGTGCTTTAAAGTCAACTTAAAAAGAAGTATCGATTAGATGCTTGTTCGTAATGGCATTGTATCTAATATTCTCAAATTTTGATAAAACTGAAGAAACGTCCCTTTTAAATTGAAATGAATCTGAACTGTAATAAAACACTTAAACACTTCTAGATCACGTAAGAAGTAATAATGACGTGCAAGAAAATTCTTAAAGTATTAATGGTCAGCATGTATCAACTTTTTAGACATGGTAGGAGTTGATATGGTGCATGCAAAAAAGCTAAATATTTGCAGAACGCAGTAAGAATAAGCATATTTTGGCCCATAGCAGAAGCACAGAAGTCAAAGGTTACTCAGAGGAAGAACTGAACTTCACGAGGAAAAAATTGATAATTTATCTTTAGAAGTGATAGTAATACGTCAAATAAAGGTGTACTTCTTTGAGAAGCTAACATCGACATAACAATAACATAATAACAAAATCCAAGCTATAATAAGCATGTGAGTGAGAGGGATAATCAATGAATCAGAAAGGAAGCCCTTATAAGGAAGTTCCATCAGTGTCAGTTTAGAATTAGTCTGATGAAGTGAGCAAGCAAGATAAATATAAGGCCGAGTCTACGTAGTACTTTGCAATTTGAGACGAGCAGACCTTCTTAGTACTTGCTTACTGAATCTCTTATTTGTTCACCTTCGTACACGATCCCCCATACGTTTGGCTTCAAGTCTCGTTATGGGTATTGGATTCAAACATTTGCCGACAATTCCGTCATATCCCCTTCCTTCCTATTTCTGTTTCTCATTTCAGAAGCAAATATTTACGCAATGATGTTTCTGGTATTGTATACAATTTTAACATTTATTTATGCACTCCATAGTTCATACTAGTGTGATTTGCAGGCCTATAATTGTTTTATTGATTTTCTCAGGTTACTTAATTCAATTAATGTTAACTTTACTTTTTCGTATTATTTTTTTGTAAGTTTGCTTTTAATTAAATATTAATAGTTATTTATGCATGTTCAGATGTAGTGATAGGCGTATGGTTCGTTGCAACTTTTTATAATCATTGGAAATTAATTTTTTGATTTGAATGGCTGAATCGGGATTCTGGTTTGTGCCGAAGCAGATCACTTCGTCATTTTTATTCTCCATCTAATATCACTTGCATTCTACCCAAATAATCTTTTTTGACCCGTTCCTCATAATATTTGCATTCATCCTACTTCACAACTACCTAATTTTTTCAGCTTAACTAATGTCTAATCAGATCTACTTATCTTCTCAAAAAAAAAAGATTTAATCACGACTATTAATAGCACACGAAATAGAAGTCCTCCTCACAAATTTCTGCAGGCACTGTACTTACGATTGAATCCAATATATTATTGCCTCATCACGTTACGTTATTCGAGTCTTCAGATTTGATATTTCTCTCAAACTTTATGGTACTTGGAAAAATCCTGCGATCATACTTCGGTATAGAACATGACTAAAGAAGACTAGCATTCAGAAATTTTTATAACTTTTTCATTAAACAAATTCAAAAAATACGATATTCAGAATTATTGAGATGAGATTATTACAAAAGTGTATCATCGATGTCGTGTTCTATTTCTGATATAAAAAGAATAAAAAACTGAAATGTAAAAACATAATATATTGGTTTTTATATACTTAAAGCTTCAAGAATTACAGAAGAAATACAATTTTGTTTATAATTCAGAAGAAATAAATGATGAACAAATTTGGAGACAAATTGTACAGAATCGAGGAAAGTATGTTGTTTTTGGTTGTTTTCACTTCAGTGCTGATCCAAAACTTGATACATATTTAAGAAATAATACAGGTGGATAGAACATGTGAATAAAATAAGCAGTAAAAAAATTGGAATCAAACATTCTATGGTTGTTAATACTTACATTCATTTGTGGGTACAAAAACTTGTAGAAAAAAGTCAGAAGTTAAGTGTAAAACAGATGAAGACAGAATTAAAGTAATAACTCAAAATCACTATGCAGCACCCACTTCATACGTCGTAGTTCGGCTAGTTCACGATACAGTTGTGCCTTACGTGCGCGAGCATCTTGCCGTTCACGAGCTTTGTCTACAAGCTGACGAACAGCAGCACTTTTTAACTGGAAAATACTTGAGTAATAATTTGCATAAAAAGTTCTTTACTGCGTAATTACAATTAACTTGATATCAAGGTTTAATATAGAGTTTAATGTGATTAGTAACTATTATTTTATTTTAAAAGTCCTATACTTAACTAACAAGTTGGCACCATAATCTAGTCATTTCATGTTTGAAAATTAACAACAGTTACCTGTAATTCAGCAATCTGTGCATCCAACTCAGCCAGAAAGTTTAACTCCGCTTGTTCTAAATTTGTTGGCGGAGGTGGTGGTGGTGGAGGATGAAATTTTGGTGCTGGTCTATAAGTAGTGCAAGGAATATAAGTAAAGCTTGATGATATACTAGGAAACTCAGCTCCTTGTTGATTGTCACTTCTTCGATCGTACATGCCATAATGATGACGAGAATGTGATTTGCAGTAGTGTTGATTTGGTCGGGCATATATTGGTGATGGACATCGAATAGAACGCAATGACCCACTGGATGAACTGGCAAGCTCAGAATCTGATGAAGCCACGTCATCTTCTACCAACAAAGATAGACGATTGAAAGCCTGAAACTAACTGCATATTTACCTGCAATGTTTGAAACTCTTTAAAACTATTGTTACTGAAAATAAAATTATCAGCTCTCGACATGATGCAAAATAATGCATCAATAATTTGCAAAATTAGCAAACCAAGAAGTTGATCTAAAGTTTGAGCAAAGTTTGTCAAGATTGTTAAAGTATCGATGGAGGACAATGTCCGGTAGTACAAAGGGCCATTAATAAAATGTCTAGTTTGAATGTAGTCCATGTTATTGTGCCAGATCAAATTAAAGATGATTATAAATGTATTCAGGATATCGTCTCTAATTCAATGTTTATCAAATTTACCACAATATAGAAAAGTATCCGGAAAAATTCAGAAAATAGAATTAAACTTGCGGAAAAATTAGTACTATTATAGTTTACCTCAAGTTCGTGGTAAACGTGCTCGTCATCATCTGTCGTGATTCGATCATGCTTAGCAGTAGTGATTTTAAGCGGTGGTAGTTCTGAGTCTACTTCCAAATCAAGTCCTAATGCCTCATCTACATCTATTGAATTACACTCAACCGCCTTATCTTCCAGTCGACCTTTCTTACTATTTACTGCTAATGGCTGCCAGTCTGGTGAATGAACCGATGATTCTGGGCTGAAGATGCAAAGATTTTAAAAGCCTTTACAAGGTATTAGTTTGTGCTCCTTTAATTCTACTGCAGTCAGAAATATATTCTTGAATAAGAAAATTCCTTCCCATACGATTTCTACTTTTATATTCTTTGCAAACTTGAAAAAGAATGCTTATGAAGTGTTCGGTTTGCTTTTTTCTTAAAACAAAACGTCTAATTACTCTCAAATGGAAATCAAAGAGAAAAATATCTTTTCTTGACACGAACAAGAATCTGAATTTTTGAATTTTTTCAAAAATATTTTGAAATTATTTTGAAAAAACTGAACACGTCTAATTTCTTGTTCAGGTATGGCTGAGTAGCAACATACTGTAAACAGAATACTTTAAATTTCCTTATCTAAACTTCAAACTAAAATAAAGACTTTAAACATCATTCCGTGAAAACTGAATAAGTTCGATTCAGCAATTTAGATAACAAAGATTCAAAGATAAACAGGCTATATTTCTGATTAAGAGGAAACTCACTTGTTAAGAAGATGTGAACTTAATGGAATCTGATATCACCAAGATAATTACCATCTATCATTCTTAGCATATTTCGTTAAAAAGTATCAGTTACTTACCTGCTATCTTGACTACCATAACCAGAACTGCAAGTACTTTCATCTAAACTTTTAATACGAAGCGAAGTAGAGCAATCCATTGGTGCATATATTTCTTCATTAGTTGGTTTAGGCATCTCAAACATTACAGTCTGAACTGATGGGCGACATCGTGAAATCCATGGATTTGTACGAATATTCTATAATAGCAAGTTAAAATTTTGCTGAAGTACTGAAGAGAATTGAAAAAATGACTGTTCTATTCACTTGCAATGGAAGTAAGAACGATTCCATTAAGATAAATCAAATCACATTCATTATGGATAAACTTAGCTCTCTAAATGATGCATTTCAAATCACTATGAAATGAAAACAAAACTATGTTGCCTGGATGATAAGAACCATAACACTGCAATAGTTAATGACATTTAAGTAATATAAGATCAGTCTTATAAGAGCGGACTTTTCGAGTGGAGCCAAACGACGAGGTGAATGACTGCGACAAGGATGCGCTAGTACATTTGGAACTGTCGCGGCATGGAGAAGTCACCGTTTCTTGCCTGTTCCAAGAAGCCGGCATTTTGACTGAAATATTACTACGAGTAAAAATAAGCTGAATCCTAACATCACTGCAATATTTTTCATTTTTGAACCAGTTAATTTTGATTTATGGAGTAAAGAAAGTTAATCTCTACACAAGTCGAAGTTCCGTGAAACAGTAATTTAAAGAGAATATTATTCGCAAATATCTGCAGATAAAAACGGATACATTTGACTCTTTAATTATATTAATTTATTTAGGAAAGATAAAAACAAGGTTACTTTGCGGCTGATCATTACTGATCAGAGACTGCGATATGGCATCAACAGAATAATCTCGGTGACGATAGTTTTGTACGGCGCTTACACTGTAACGAAGTCGTGGCGCTGCTGATTTTGACTTACGTTGATGAGGTTGAGTACTGGATGAGGAATCATTTGGTTGACGTGTAGTTGGACGACGTCGTAGCGGCAATTGCTCAAACCACGAGCTAATTCGTTGCATCAAACCAAACTCTGCAATACACAACACTTCTAAATTAATAAAATGTTAGCAATTTGCAATATGTACTTAAAAAGAAAAAACATTCAAGTATAAAAAATGTTATGGAAAAAAAGTTGAATAATAAAAAAAGTTGCATAATATTTCATTTGCTTCAATTGACCAAAAAGCTCAGAGAGAAATAATCTGCGCAAATTTTCATTGACGTAAACAAAAGGTAATTTGGCGCTAGCAGGAAGACTAATACAAATGAGCTTAAGAAGCAAGTACAGCGAAGTTAACTCATTAAATGGTAGCAAATTGTAATTCGACAAATTTCCTCTTACTACTGTAGCATACTAAAATTCTACTATTTCTGAAGCACACATAACACTGAAGTGTAATTTTTTTCATCTTCTGATGTTCATACACCCAAATGGTGAAATTTTAAGCTATTTTATAATGAAAAGCTGTAAAAATTTTATTTTAAATTAAAAAAACAAACTATAAAATATGTCAAATAGTTATATTATTCGCCGTTATCCTGACGAGAAACCGTTGTAGTGGTGACAAATTTGATATTGTTAGATGGATGCATTATACCTTCGCGGTAACATTCTGATGATTTGTAAAGAAAAAGGGAAAGAGAACAGTGGCCAAGCTCTTGGTTGAATGCAAATGGCTAAGTAGTGACCTAGGCTAGTTAGTAATCAGGAGTACCCGCAGGAATGGGCATAGATGTGGTTAGTTGTCTGCAAGTCCTTGACCATCCACTTCAGCTTCAAATTCAGCAAAACAAAGAAAGCTTGATTAATTTCTAGTACACAATGCTATTCCAACTTACTGAACATACTTTAGCTCTATAATATATCGCTTATAGTAGCTTTTCTTAGTTCAGAAACGTAAAAACTTTAAAATCTTCAAAAAATTTAGCGCCAAATAAAAAGAAAACAAACTCGCGCAGTTAAATTCGAAATGCTATAAATAGTTATGTATTCACTCTAATTGTTCAAAAATTTCTTTCAGAAAGGAATAAACAGCAAAGCAATAAATTAGCAGAAACATCAGAAATATTTATAAAATGAACAGAAAGCTGAATTAAAAGCTTGCATACAGCGCAGTTTCAAAAAAAGATAAAGTGTTAAAATTGTGCAAAAATATAAAATTAAATAAAGATATCTGCAACTTCCCCAATGATTACATCCAATTTGGGCAATAAAATCAATTGAAGTGCAAACGTTGACAGCACGTGAACGTAACGTTGTTGACTACATGAATCTCTGCAGTTTACAACATTTTGCTCATTCAAAATGATAAAATAGTAATATCGTAATAATAAGTGTAATGCATTTTAAGTCTAAAATTGACTGAAAGCTTATGGTAATCAAATTTTGAATTGGCATACGCGACTGACTACTGTAAATTAGAATAAATGTCAAAAAGCTGTCCAAAATAAATATTGTATTGCAGTGAGAGAAGCGCATGCATGCAAAATTTGCTCGAAATAAAAGCAGAAAAGAAGTTTTGGTACGTGAAAGAATGAGAATATATTGAATAATGACAGAAAGTTATAAGTATGCGACTGAGTGAAATGTATTCTAAACGTGTACGGAAGAGTTGACACAGAGCTCGTTGCTAAGTGTACTTTTGTAGATGCACACTTACTATCTCAAAAACATTATTATTGTATAAGTATTATTATTGTATAAGTAACAATAAACGTATGGTAATGAAATTAACAAATACATTTGAAAAATAATAATGAATTATTGAAAGGAAAGTGGAAAGTGAAGTATGTGAAAGCAAGAAACCGATAAATGTCCTTCGACCTCAATACCGCACTGGCAGAACTATCTCTGTCCGTGAACTAACTGTACTCAACAATAATTCTTCAAATGGCCATTTTAATTTTGTCTTTACTTATTCTATTTATACTCTCTTAATTTCTCGTCATGCGTTATGTCTACTCTTTTTATTGTAAATAAACAACACACGCACGTCTACCTATACATTATAACGCTTTTATTACTGCGTACTGTGATCACTTTTTGCAGTAATACTTTAATTATTTCCATTATTAATTCTTCTAACAATTAATAAAACTTGATATAATGCACCGCTAAAACGTGAAATATTTCAAAACAGATGAATTTAACAGACTATTTTCAATTTTAGTAAAGGTTATTTGTGTCATCAACAAAACACGCACGCCGAGCCTTCGTGATATCATTAGTCTAATATGTGCTGCAATCGCACTGTAAGTAAAGTGCAATCATTTATGTACTCAATAAATGTTCTCTATGATTTATTGATTATTTATTGATTACTATAAAATAGATTGTCGTGATTTAAATAATATTTACTATTTAAATGCAACAATAGTGTACATAGCACTTAAATAAGACAAAGTAGAAACTAAATTTAAATATGTAAAGCAATTTTGATTATAAATAAATTCAACAGCTCAATAATACCGTATTGTCTTTTTTGATATACCGAAATAGACTATTAGAATAGGAATTGTGCACATCAATTATTGCCTGCACGATAAATGCCATCAAAAAAGCACAGATGTTTGAGGAAAGTATAATGATAGATTAGCTCAGATGCAGGAGTGTAAGGCTGGTGTGTGCAGAATACAATGCTGCAATGAACATCTGAAGGATTTGAGAGAGAGCAGTGACTTATTTAGAATACAAGGCGCAAGAAAAGTAAGTAAGTTTCAGGAATGAAAGAATTAAAATGAATGAAAGGCATTTGAGAGTACTGGCCTTTGTCTAATAGGCCTGATTGGAAGTGATTGAGAATCAAAGTTACGTATGTTCACAAACGTATCCACGCAACTTCATCAAAAGCTACGTGTGGGAATTAATTGCTTACTCACTAGCTTGAAGCAAATTAGCATGTCTTACATTTTCTTTCTCACAATTATTACCAAAAAATATGAAACAAATATTTAAAAAATTTTACACTGCTCACTCTTTTGAGCCAATGTATATTTGTTTTTTAGCGAATTCTATAAATAATACAACAATGTTATATGTTTTTGATATAATTTCATCTTGAATAAACTAGTTTTTTGTGTGCAGAAACAACTATTAATGCCATAAATTACTATAAAATTATTCAGTAAAAAGATAAATGTGAAGTAATTTAATGTGAGCAAAGATAAATAATGCATACATCTCTTCAGATTCTCAAATAAAATAACTTTGTCCTCAATTTGTAGACAGAAATTTACACTTCTGCAAATATTTAGCCCTTCATAATTGATAGGATTTACAAACTAACAAGTTAGGAATAAAACTGAACATGCCAATTTGCTTCAAGCTAGTGAGTAAC